TGATTCTGATTTTTTTCTTCAGATTTTTATATTTTTTACTTTGGCAAAAAAAGATAAAGGAAAACAAAATAACCTTATTCAAGTTATTCTTTCTTAATTTACTGTTGTGAACATTAAATGAATTAATGGGAGTATGTGTAAGCTTTTAGCAAGCACTCAGAAAGTATAAAATACTGTTTTGTTGTTGTTTGTTTTAATTTTTTTAAGTTTATTTTGAGAGAGAGAGAGAGAGAGAGAGAGAGAGAGAGAGACTGCGTGGGAGGGGCAGAGACAGAAGGAGAATTGCAAGTAGACTCCAAATGTCACGGCAGAGCCTGATGAAGGGCTTGAACTCACGAACCGCGAGATCATGACCTGAGCTGAAATTAAGAGTTGGTCATCCAACTGACTGAGCCAAACAGGCACCCCTGAATTATTGTTTTTAAAAAAATTTTGTCTAATGTTTATTTATTTTTGAGAGAGAGAGTGTGAGTGGGGGAGGTGTGGAGAGAGAGGAAGACACAAAATCTGAAGCAGGCTCTAGGCTTCGAGCTGTCAGCACAGAGCTTGATGAGGGGCTCGAACCCACAAACTGTGTTATCATGACCTGCGCTGAAGTTGGAGGCTTAACTGACTGAGCCACCCAGGGGCCACTAAAGTATTGTTTTTAACGTCTTCAAGAGAGTAATGTCAAGACTTAGATGGCTCATGCCAATAGCTATGAAGAATATTTAAGAGAGGTCAACTCTGGAGGGTAGGCCTTTAACTCTTATTTTAATAGGCCCTGTCCTTCATCATTGAAAATATTAAAATGAACCGATATCCCACATTAAATGTAATTTATAAATCTCTAAGAGTTGAGTTGCTTATGACCAGTTGATATGTCCCATTTTGCAGACATTTAATCAGATTTACTAATTTAATTTTGGAATTTAAAAACATTTTGGAGCCAATAAATTCATCTCATCTCTCAAACAATCAAGAGCACTGGGCCTCTAAAATGCAATCGCCCTTTTGGGTGCCTGGGTGACTCGGTGGGTAAAACCGTCTGACTCTTGGTTTCAGCTCAGGTCATGATCTCACAGTTTGTGAGTTGGAGCCCTGTGCAGTGCTCTGTGCTGACAGGTTGGATGGATCCTGCTTTGGGATTCTCTGTCTCCATCTCTCTCTGCCCCTTCTCCGCTCATCCTCTCTCTCTCTCTCAAAATAAATAAATAAACATAAAAAAATACAATGCAGGGGCGCCTGGGTGGCTCAGTCGGTTAAGCGTCCGACTTCAGCTCAGGTCGCGATCTCGCGGTCCGTGGGTTTGAGCCCCACGTGGGGCTCTGGGCTGATGGCTCAGAGCCTGGAGCCTGTTTCCGATTCTGTGTCTCCCTCTCTTTCTCTGCCCCTCCCCCGTTCATGCTCTCTCTCTCTGTCTCAAAAATAAATAAACGTTAAAAAAAATTAAAAAAAAAATACAATGCAATCGCCCCTATCGGGGCCAGATTATTTATTCTCTGACAGGAAGAAGATGGAATTTCAGGGCTGAAGGGATGTTGGGAAACATTGTTTCACTAGGGGGCGTTCTTTTCTCTCCGTAGATATCTTCTGGTTGGGGAGCAAACAACTTTTGGAATCAGGTAACAAAAGGGGTCCATGCATCCCCTAGCTGTTAAAATAAAAAGTGGATATGTCTCTGTGGCAGAAGACCAAGGGATACTTCCAAAATATAGGATTAGTCACTGTACCAATTAACGCAAATGCATTTGCACATATTTATACAAGGAGATTCAACCTAACTGTGGCTAAACCAACCAAAAGTGCTTATACAGTAATCCACATTCATGCTATCTTGATAGGTGTTATATGTGAGAAGCAATTTTGCTACCTAGGAAAAATCTGAGAAACAAGGATTTTCATAAATGTTTTTAGGTTTCTTGAAGCCATGTTAGGAGAGAACATTTTTGATCTGTGGCAATTTTTCTAGATGCAGCCTTCTTTTTGTCTTAGGAGCTGTGGAGGTTCATTGCAATTAATCTCTACATTGAGCTGTAAGTTTCCTGACAGGGATGTTATACACGAGAATGTGAAAGTGCACCAGAGCATTGCTTAAGGTCATTTGGGGTCAAAACTTAGTGACTTTTTATCCTTTCGGTCATCATTTGAAATAAAAAGATCCCACAATAACCCAGCCTTCCCCTTCTCATTGGATACGCAGCATCAATGCCAGCGTTTGGGAAGGAGCCTGTGTGATGGCTTAATCAAGGAGGTGATGAAGCATTGTCACAAACAGCCTTCTTAGTCACCCCAGCCGCAGCTCACCGTTCTCAGTCCCCTGAAAATCTTGAATGATAACGTCACCACTGTTCCCCCTTAATGACACTCGTGCATTTCTTCTCAGGTGGTACTGTGCACCGAATGTAAAAGAGACCTGCTGTATTGTCATTTTCCCAGGAAAATGGCTCGATCTCATGTAAAATTAAAGCCAAGAGTTAAAATTTCACAAGTTCCTTTTCTCGTTTTGATGAATCCTTATTCTTTTCTCTCTGTATGGACATCTACCGTGAGAGGGTTTCTACAATAAAGAACACGTTATTTTTAAAAGCATATTGTAAATAAGAAGGATTATTTGTGGGCACACTTTTGGCAGTTGTTGCATGAAAATGGAACGGAGTCCATCAGCACTGAGTCTGGGCAGGAGAGAGTTGCTTTACCATTTGTCAAACTGGATTCATCCAGGGCAGTCCCATCCCAGAGGACAACTGCGGGCCCCCTGCCATGCACAGCAGCTCAGGGTTTACAGAATTTGCTCAGCAAAGTACATATACGGATTTCGGCTTCAGTCTTCTCACTGAACTAAACTTTGTACGTGCCTGCACTTGTATACTACATAATCAGAGTCAAGTTGGGAGTGAATTTCCAATACCGTCTTCCCCACCCCGAGAATTAACATTTAAAATCTTAATTCTGATAGGCATTCTCAGGAAACTTGGAACACGTTTGCATTTATTAGGTAAAAAAGTAAACTTCTGAGATCGCGGCTGTTTGCTCATCTGTGAATGCTCGGCCTCTATGTTTCTAACCTGGGAAATGCAGGGAGACTGTTATTTTCTTCAGTACTTCTGTGTCAAGTGGGCCTCATTTTTGCAGTTGTGGAGAGAGAAAATCTGCCTTTCCTTTTGAGCAGATGCATATTAGGAGGCAGGGAGTACAGTGTGTTAAGAGCCAGAATTTGAGAGTTAGAACTTTGTTCAAATCTTTGCTTAATCATGCACAAGGATTGTGAGTCTAGGCAGGTTACGTGACATCTGTTAACATCACTTTCTCCTCCTGTGAAATGGAGCTAACACTAAAGTCATGGTAAGTATTACATGAGAGATAATCAGTAGAGCACGGAGTACAGTGCCCGGTCAGTGTGGTGGGGTTGCTGGAATATTATCTGCAGCCATGTGGGGGTGACTTTTAGCCCTCATTTGTAATAGTGAAAATCTTCTGGAAAACTTCAGAGGATTCTAAAACAAAAGTCAGAACCATACGTCAAGAGACTTTAGGAGGCAACTTTATAAGGTAGCCCCTGGGATTATGTGGGGGAGAGAATGCTGTGGGTGCAGTTGCACTGAAAGTTTCCACAGCCCCTGAGAGGCTCTCGAGGGGAGCAACCTTTGGGAGCAAGCTGGAGGCTGAGGTGAGTCAGCACACCTACCCAGTTCCTGAGAGAAGGCTCCCTAAGGCCACTGAGTCACTCTTCCCTTAAACCAGGAGTCAGCCCCTCCTCCACCGTTTTTTTCTTTCTATTTCAGAGTGAAGTTAATGCTAAGAGGTATAATGGGAATAATAAAATATAATTACCATGATGACAAATCTGCAAACGATGTTCCTTGTGAAAATGAATTCTCCTTTGGATATGCTGTGCTTCCTCAGAAAGGCCACTGAGTGGTGTCTCTGCAAGTTGTGCTTCGTGTAAGTCTGAGGCAGTAACTGTTGGCAGAAATGTCTTAGCAGTGACCAAGAAGAGACTCTCTGTCTTTGGGGACGATACCACTGCTGACAGAGAATTGGGCAGGGGACTCATTCCCTCTGGAACATTTCCAGACAGGTGTCTGCATTGAGCATTTTATTTCAAGACAAGTTATCTGTCATCCCCCCATACCATGGTCACTCATCCAACACTCTGTGCAAGGCCCTCCTTAGACACCATAAACGATGCAGAGATTTCAGTCTTTTTTCTTTTTAATGTTTATTTATTCATTTTTGTGACAGAGAGTGAGATAGAGATTGAGCCGGCAAGGAGAAGAGGGAGAAGGAGACAGAATCCCAAGTAGGCTTCGTGCTGTCACCACAGAGCCCGATGTGGGGCTCAAACCCCCGAACTGTGAGATTATGACCTGAGCTGAAACCAAGAGTTGGACGCTTAACTGACTGAACCACCCAGGTGCCCCAGAGATGCCAGTCTTTATAAGCAACTTACAACATGGTAAGGAAGACGATAGCAACAATGATAATAAGGATAGTGATAATAACGGCACTCAGTAATGATTTACTTAGCCCAGGTACTCTTCAAGTTCCTTGAAACCCCTTTTTTATCAAAACAATGCTGTAAGTAGGTGTAATGATCATCTCAGTTTTAAAGATGAGGGGACTGAGGCCTGGGGAGGTTAGGGAACACACTCAAAGGTGAGCCCTACATACAAACACACAATAACACCAAGCAGAATTCAGTTCAATGTCCTGGCAGTTTATGGGAGGGAAAGATCACTTCCTGTGCATGGGCATCAGGGCATACTTCCAGAGGAGGTAGGAGAAACAAAGTCTTGAAGGGTGTAGGGCGTTGAATTGTGGCCCCTCCAAAAGACACGCCCTCCCCAAACCTGTGAATGTGACCTTATTTGAAAAAGTTATTGTAGATGTAATTATGTTAAGGAACTCAAAATGAGGTCACCCTGGACTGAGGGTGGGGCCTAAAGCCAATGATAGGTGTCCTTATAAAAGAAGGACAGAGGGAGATGCCAGGGTCAGACACACAAAGAGAAGGCCACATGAAGCTGGAGGGCAGAGATTGACAGCTCTAAGCCGAGAAACGCCAAGGATACGGGCAGGCATTGAAAACTACGAGCGAGGCAGGGAACAGATTCTCTCTCAGAGCCTCCTGCAAGAACCAACCTTGCCAGAACCTTGGTTTTGGACTTGTGGCTTCCAGGACTGTGAGAAAATTAATTTCTATTGTTTTAAGCCACTCAGTGTGTGGTAATTTGTTATGGCAGCCCTGGGGATGTGAGGGTGTGCGAGAACTGCTCCGAAACGCTGGCTCGAGCAAAGACAGCAAAACGAAAAAATACGGAGGTTTGAGTGTCTGTTTTGGTTTGCCTGAAGCACAAGGACCCTGAAAGGGAGCTAGCTTTCTGAGGCGAAGGTCACATGATGGAGGCTTTGAATGTCAGGTTAGGAAATCTAGATAGATTTTCCTTGATGAGCAATAAGGAACTTGATGAGTGCTGTATATTTAGAGAATCAAGGTGTCCCTGAGCTGGCAGGAGGTAATGTGGGCCTGAATTAGCGCAAGGGCAGTGGGAATGAAGAGAAGGGACAGAGGGAAAGTATCTTGTAGGAATCTAAGACACTTGGCAATCAGCAGATTCTCAATCTGACTCCTGCTAAGTAGCTTGATTCATATTTTACGTGCTATTGTTTATGCATCTTTGTCTTCTGGGGATGCCGAACACCCACACTTTAAATGAGCTATCCTAAGTCTTTCGGCTGCCTGTCAAGTTGGATTATTAACTTGTCCTGGCTTTCTGGCAGTCAAGCTGTGCTCCATGTAGACGACTTTCTTTCCTGGAATCTTAGGGAACCTTTCTTTTGCCTTCTCTGCCCTATTCCTCCTATGTGAGCTATGCCCTTAGAAACAGCTTCAGTACCCTTAGTCACCTCTTCTTGGCTCCTGTTCTGCCTGAGCTGGGCACAGGAGGCAGGGTTTCAGGGCCGCCGCGCTGGCCTCACTCCAGCATTCTGTTACAGATCCTGTCTTAACATTTGATGCTAAGGGTGATGTAGAGGCAGCATTGATCAAGCTGTGACATCTGGAACAGATCTTCCAGTCATGTCAGAAGTTGGACATTGCCAGTGCCCTGGAGACCTTTAATGTGGTCTGAACCTTCAACCCTCATTAGCATCATATTCCTTTCGATAGTTTCCCCAAATCACACTGACTCTCTTCATCTGGCTTTAGAATCCGGAACAAATGAAAGGGGAAGAAGAGGAACCAGCCTTTACCCAGGGCTTACTTATCGTGCGAGGCGCTTTGCCTACGTTATCTCATCTCTTCTTCATGTCAGAACCATGAGGCAGGTGCTATTATCCTCTTTTTTACAGATGATAAAATGAAAGCTCAAAGCAATTAGGTCACACGGTGAGTGGTGCTGCCAGGATTGAACCTTGGGACTTTCCCAGATACCACACTGCCTCCTACGTAGGAGATTATTTTTTGTCAGCTACGAAAATGGTAGAATTCAGTTTCTGGCATATGTGCAGGGTTTCCCTGATGCGTGCTGCCTTTTCACTTTGTGAGATGATTTTGGATCATCATGTCTCCCCTGGTCCCTCCTAGAGCCCAGGCACTGACCTAGCACTTCCTGGACATCGGCTTCAAGAATGTTTGAGAATTTTCTAGGCTGATAAACTTGGGCTGTTTCCCAAAGGAAACTAAAGTGTGTTTTAGCATCAGGTTACAGTCTGCAGTTGTCTGGTTGCATCTCTAGGTGTCATTGTATGGGAAAGGATGAATAAAATGGGTCCTCTTATGTAGCCTTGATCTCTATGTTGGTTCAGGGAAAAGAAATGGCCTGGATACAGCATCACGGTGGTACTGCCTGCAATACCTGTGACGCTAGGACCCCTGTTCCAGCTCTCTAGTTTCCAGACCCAGGCCGATATCCTCAGGACCCAAGACCCACCACTCTAACCCCACCTCTCTTCATGCTGCATTTGTCCCACCTTTCTCCTGCTCACTCCCAGGAGGTACTTCTCCCTTTTCTCTGCAATTCAATCCTAAACTTTGCTCGTGGCTCAGCCCCACATCACTAAGCCTCTCCTGGTCTGCTTTCCATCACTGAGTTCCTGCAGCCAGTTTGCTTCTGTGGTGTTGCTCCCAGCTTTCTTTCTGATTCTGGGTCTGTGCATTCTCTCTTTAATTGACTATATAGCCTCTTAGAGTAGGGAGTTCAGTTTTCCTTTTGGCCTCGCGGTGCCTGGCAGAATGCTGGGCATACAATGGGGGTGTTAATTATTGATTGCATCTGTAAATTGCAGACACATTTCTAGAACACAGATTACCTTATAAAATCTGCATTACTTTCCTCACTGGGGACAGAATAAAGTGCAATTCCTGAGCATGGAATTAACCCCCCCCCCAAAAAGGAGCAAAATATAAAACAAAACAAAACTCCCTATCTTTAGTTTCCAAACTATTCTTTCTTCCAGGCTCTAAGCACTGGGTTATCATTGCTCTTACCATTCCCTCAGCTGGAAATATCATTTCCAGATTTTCTGCCCTGGAAATTCTTCCTACCCTTCAGAGGCCACCTTCTATGTGGAGCCCTCCTTGATCTCCCAAGACACAGTGAAGAGAGTTTTTCTTCTGAATGCCTATACCATGTCATGTTCGCCCAGTTTGGCCTGAGTTTTATTTAACCTTGTCCTGTATCTCCTTGTTTCTGTCCCTTCTGGATTGCACTCTGCCTGAGGAGCAGAAGGCAAAGTTGTTGACTCACCTTTGCATACAATTAATGCCTAACGTAGGATGAGCAGCCTTTCGTTAAGGCTGGCTGTGCTCGGTGTAATTCCTGTCTGATAGGAATCAGCAGCAGCTCTAATGTTTTTCAGCAGCTTGCTGGCCTGGAGAGGAGCTAGAAGGGGAGCTAAAACCTAGCAGGGAATGTACCTGCTCCTTCTTTCACATCCTCCCTGGTGGCAGAGACAGGGTTCTTAGGTCTCCATCTCTGATGCTTAGCTGGCCTTCCTTAGCAACCTCTCCCTGCTAGGGAAGAAATGGAAATCGTCCCCAAATCAAGTGCACACGTTGCATCAGAGGCAGGGCAGGGCCCCTGTGTCTTATGAGTCAGCAGGCATTAAACCAAGCTCATCTCTCCCCCTTACCTCTAAAGCCCACAAAGCAGCAAACTTGTTATCGCTGCACAGGAGATAATGAGCATTAGGCCAAGGACAGGGCAGCCTGGACTGTGGCAGGGGCTGCTTTCTTTTTCAGGGATGGTGCAATGAGCCACTTTCTTTCAATCACCCGTGACTTTTATGCTACTCACTGACGGTGAACCAGAGACACCCACTTGACATCATTAGTCGTGTGAGCCAGATGTCAGCCACTAGATGTTTCTAACTTCCCCAGCTTGCTGAGCTCCTCTGGTCCTTTGTGATTTAGTAAAAATTGTCTCAAATGCCCAGCCCTTATGCCCAGATACTTTCCAATAGCTCTGAGAATTCTAGCTGGTGAGGTGTATAGAAGGAGTCTGTGTTCCCTCTGCCACTAGTCTCTGCACTGCTTTCTTGGCCTCTGTGTTCTGCCTCCTGCACACCCTGTTCCTTCTGCAGATAGTATCTGCTCACTGGACTCCTAACAAACCCTCAGGCCCCATTATGCCACTATTTGTGGCTGTGTGTGCTTCAGACTTCACTGAGGATTTGGGCCATGGAATGCGTGTGTGTGTGTGTGTGTGTGTATGTGTACACGCATGCCTGTGCACGTGGTTTCCTAGGGCTGTTATAACGAAGTAACACAGAATGGGCTAAAAAGCAACTTATTGTCCCACAGGTCTAGAAGCCAGAAGTCTGAGGCCAAGGGGTCAGCAGGGCCATGCTTCCTCTGAAGGCAGGAGGGAAGGATTCATTTGCAGCCTCTCTCTTAGCTTCTGGTAGTTCCTTGGTTTATGGCAATATAATTCCTCTCTACACAGAGTGTTTTCCCTGTGTGTGGGTCTGTAGCCAAATTTCTTCTTTTTTAGAAGGACACTAGTCATATGTGAACAGGGGCCCACCCTTTTCCAGTGTAACCTTGTCTTCGTTGCTACAACCCTATTTCCAAATAAGGTCACATTCTGAGGTCAGAGGTGTTAGGACTTGAGCATGTGAATTTGGAGGAGATACAGTTCAATCCATAACAGTGTGTGTGTGTCAGGGCCAGGGGTGTTACCTGACAGAATGGAAAGGCAAAACACTCGCAACTGAATATTTAATCATCTCAGGTTTTGGTTTTTTTAATGCTTGTGTGTGAGAGAGAAGAGAGAGTGAGGAGAACGTGAGCGGGGAAGGGGCTGAGAGGGGGAGAGAGAATCCCAAGCAGGCTCTGTGCCATCAGTGCAGAGCCCAATGCAGGGCTTGATCCCATGACCCCATGACTGTGAGATCATGACCTGAGCTGAAATCAAGAGTAGGATGCCTAACCGACTCAGCCACCCAGGCACTCCTTAACCATCTTGGTTTTAAAAGTTCCTCAGCCATTCCATCCTCTGGGGAACTTCCTGGGGTCCTCTTCCCCCAGCCTCCTGCCTTGTTGCTGGATCCCTTCTGACGTTCTTCTTGGACCTCTCCTTGCTTCTTCCTGTTTCATCCAGTTATAACTCCAAAAATTACTGTGCGTTTCTGAAGCAAAACAGTTTAACTATTTTCCTCTCTCCACAAACCCTCCAGACTTGGCCTATACAGGACCATCCTGATAACTAAAAGCCCCATTTGAGATGTTTCTCACAAAGACAGTTCTCTGGCTGAGGGGAAATTCTGTGACCAGCTCTGATAGGAACATTTTTTTATTCCCGTCATCAGTAAATGAAATGAAATTATTTATTGATCTAAATATTTTTGTCAACTAGTTTCTATTTATATCTGAGTGCATTAAAAAGTGCTTCCCACCCAAAATGAGAAAAACAAAAAAACAGAAATAAAGGTGAACGTAGGCTGTGACTCACAGGCGAGGGATGGACAGCTTAGTATTCTTCCTTCCACTACAAAACATACTGATAAATGTGATAACCTTTTTTCTGCTGGGAAAGGACACAGCTTCAGAGTCCTTCTCTATGGAATTGATTCAGGCCATTGTTAGGAGTCCAGTAGAGTTGACATGAGGAAGGAAGCCCATGTGCCACCACACTTGTAGACATTGTGTGGAGGGAGTTTATGCTTCTGGTGATGGCTTCTCTCTCTGTTCACTAACAGTTGCCAGTTTGGGGAAATGAACAGAGTGTGGGGAATGTGATTTCTGTATCAGTCAGCACGAACTGGGTTATACTGTGGTCATGAACGACCCTTGAATCTTGGTACTTCTTGCTGATGTCACATGTCCTTTAGGGTCAGCAGAAGCTCTGCTGTGTCACCTTTATTCAGGGAGACAGGCTGGCAGAGCAGCCTGTATCCGGAACATTGCTGGCCTAGTGGCAGAAGGAAATAGATCCTGTTGAACCATGCGCTGACTCTTAAAGCTTCTACTTTTAAGTAATGCTTGTCACTTCCACTCACATTTCATTGGCCAAGGCTAATGTCAGTGACGTAGGCAAGAGTAATCTTCCCTCAGGAATGGAGAGCAAAGACATGAATTCAGTTTACATCAGATACCTCCTTCTTTAATGTTCTTAAATGTCGCAGAAATGAAGTGAAGGAAAATGGAGACCTTTTCTACTTATCAAATTTTAATGGCTATTCTTTATTCTTCTTACTATATATGGTAGAAATCTTATTATGAGGTTTAAAGAATAGAAATACACATTAACATCAGGATCTTTCTTATTCAATATCTTTTCTGCAGCTGGGATGTAATTCGTTTTAACAGAAGGCTGCTTAACGGTCAAAATTAGGTCTATTAACACAGACCAAGATAGTAATCTTAGTGGTTAAATCTGGACTCTAATTATCCAACACAATAGTGTTGTCTTTTTTTTTTTTTTAACATTTATTTATTTTTGAGAGACAGAGTGAGACAGAGCACAAGCGGGAGAGGGGCAGAGAAGACACAGGAAGAAGAAGAAGCCTGAAGAAGGCTCCAGGCTCCAAACAAGCGTTCAGCACAGAGCCCGATGTGGGGCTTGAACCCACAAACCGTGAGATCATAGCGTGAGCCAAAGTCAGTCACTCAACCAACTGAACCACCCAGGCACCCAAATAGTGTTGTCTTTTATTTACCTTCACAGTGGAATAAGATAAACCCAACAGTACTGCTTCCTGAGCCACAGCCCTCTCAACCTTTTAGAAATATGTTGTACTCTTATACATACTTACAACAGGAAAATCATCTTTTCATATTGAAATACATTAAGGCAGATATAAAAACAATGATCATATGTTGTGCGAATTATTCACTTCATCCCATTAATGTGAGAGTTTCAGCATGGGACCTAGAAAGCATCCTTGCTAAAGGATGTTTGGAAGAGCCACTGGCTTAGAAAAATGTTAATAGATGTTACACGGAGAAAGGTTTAGTAATTCAAGGGTTCAGGGAGTTCTTGGTTAAACACGGTAAGCAGGTTTCTGTGATGTAAGACATCTCAGAATCTTAATGATGCATTATTAGTGCCTGAGCCATTTATCTGATAAAACTCTTCAGCACACACTGGGAAACGCTGACTCACAGCTTTCAACCAGTCCCACTGCAACCACCTTCCAACCTAACTGAAACTCCAATCCTTCCAGCACCTCTGTTTATTTTTAATCAGCAGCCCTCTGATTTCTTTACTTCCCTGTTTATCCACCTTAGACTGAATGATTCATCATTTTAGCATCACGCTTGGCCAGTTATCTAAACCCCCTTATCTCTTACTTGTACTCAGCTGGAAAACCCCAACTGTGGATGAATCCAGCTTTCTGCTTCCTCTGAGCCCTGCTGGAGAAAGCTATAGGACCATGAACCCCAAATAGGCCCCTAATATCTGATAATCCCACCGTATTTCTTGTCAGCACACTTCTTACTCTCCCACCTTCTTGTGATACTACTTCAAACTCTTCTTACTTTCTGGATTGTATAACCACCTCTCTCCATTCCCACTGCATGCCCTACCGGCCTAGCTCCTTTACAGAGCACAGTGTGCCTGGTGTGCCCAGTCCTGCACCTCCTATAGCTGCCCTCATTCGAGACTCCTTTTCCCCTGTTGGGATGGTGGATATGTTTCTCCTCCATCAAAGGACAATCCCTCCACTTGTGCTTTCATTCCCACACCCTCCCAACTTTCCAAGGAAAGTTCAGCATGAGGCCTAACGCGGAGCTCCATCTCACAACTGTGAGATCACGACCTGAGCCGAAATCAAGAGTCCCACACTTGGACTGACTGAGCCACCCAGGTGCCCCTACTTTCTTTTTCGTATATACAGTCAGTCTTACTTTTCAACTGGTCTTGCTCATCAGCCATCAGCTTTTACATTTGCTTGAGTCTTTCCCATTACAGGAAGGAAGGGAGGAAGGAAGGAGGGGAGCAAGGAAAGGAGGAGGGAAGGAAGGAAGGAAGGAAGGAAGGAAGGAAGGAAGGAAGGACAGAGGGAAGGAGGAAATTATATTCAACATTCTATTCTGTTCCAGCTAGTGCTTCCTCTTCGTGGCCAAAAATCTTGCTGTTTCCATTTCCTTTTCTCCCACTCTACTCAATCTGCTCTCATCTATTTTTTTTGTATATTTTAAATTGAGATTTTAATATACAGATGGCAGTGTGCACTAGTCTTAAATGTACACAGCTCAATGAAGTTTTGCATATTCATACACCCTATGTAGCTACCACCCAGATCAAGATATAGAGAATTTCCAGGACCAAAAAGTAACAATATCCTCAGTGTTTCATAACTTGATATCTTCACTTCATAATACATCCTGTTCATTCCATGGCAAGATGGTGAGACTTTCTTGATTTCTTTACTACTGAGTAGTGCTTCATTATGTAGCTGTACCATCATTTATCAATATTCTGCAGATGGACATTTAGATTGATTCCAGTCTTTTGCTGCTCAAAATAGTGCTTCAATGAAGAGTTTTGTGGGCATCATTTCACATTTCTGCCAGTGTATGTTTGGTACAGATTCTTAGAAGTGGAATTACTGAGCCAAAGGTTAAATACATTTGCAGTTTGGCTAGATATTGTCAAATTCCTCTCCACAGAGATTGTACATTAGTATTCCCTCCTGCGCTCTGGAACAGGACAACATCTGTTTTGTCACAGACTTGCTAACAATACAAGTTTAAAGTTTTTTGAATTTTATATGCTTTTTATTTTCTTGCAGCATGATTGAGATATAATTGACATAACATATACAGCACACAATTTGATGAGTTCTGCCTGTATATGTACAACTATGAAACCATTACTACAAACAAGATAACGAAGACATCCATCTCACCCCAAAGTGTCCTCATGCTCCTCTGTAATCCAACTTTTGCTCCCCAGTCCTCTCTCCAAGCACGAGAGATCTCAGCAATTTTACTTCCTATACACATGTTTTTGAGATGATAGGAGATGTGCCTTGCAACATGAGGGGGTAAGTGAAGAGAGAAGGAAATGGCATAGGGAACCCAGGAGAGAGAACGTGGAACCCTCAGCACGGGCATGACGGGAAATCCCAGTTTGTGGCCCGCTGCAATCTGTGCTGCTGGCCCCGGCGTGGAGGGCAACTGGTTTGGATTGGGAACAGATCATAAGACTCCAGGAGAGATGAAAAGGCAATCAATCCGAAACCTGATATATCACATGTGGAGGGGAGATTCAGAGACTCAAACAGAATTTTCGGCTGAAAATCAAGCAAATGAGGAGAGAGAGATAATAAGGAAAAGTTTTGATAATGCCAAACGGCTCAACTACGAATGGCCTTTATGTTGTGACTATGACGTAAATACGGAAGTTGATCTAACCAAAATTACAGTAGAAGCTTCTTGAGGGAGTGGCAGGCAACAAGGTAGGGGTGAAAGACGGCTGAACTCTTATTTCCCACAGGGCGAGCTGAAGGAGCATTCTTACAGTTGAAGGAACAAATGAAGCATGTTCTTGGTAATTAATTCCTACACAGCCTCACAGTCTGGCTTGAGTGATAAGTCCATGCACCCCTTTTCCTGACCACCCTCCGTAGGCTCGCCTTCAGGCAATCTCGTGCATACCTCTATTAGGGCACCATCATAATTTTTTATTTACTTTTCTGTATGCCCATGAGATCGTGAGCATCGTGGGGGAAGGGCAGTATTTTATAAGCCCTTGGTCTGAAGTGTTGAATTAATGTACAAACACTACAGAACATCACAAAAACAGAACTTACCAAGGTAAGGGGAATTTAAAGAGTCTGTTTAAGAACCACAGTATATTGGGGGCGCCTGGGTGGCGCAGTCGGTTAAGCGTCCGACTTCAGCCAGGTCATGATCTCACGGTCCGTGAGTTCGAGCCCCGCGTCGGGCTCTGGGCTGATGGCTCAGAGCCTGGAGCCTGTTTCCGATTCTGTGTCTCCCTCTCTCTGTGCCCCTCGCCCGTTCATGCTCTGTCTCTCTCTGTCCCAAAAATAAATAAACGTTGAAAAAAAAAAAAAAGAACCACAGTATATTAAAATTCAAGTCAAATCATAATGATTCTAAGACATTTACTCATTTTACTCCTGAAGCTCCAAAATACTCCATTTTCCAGGGTAGTCAACTGTCGTCATGCACATATCTCCACTTAACTCTTCAGGCTACTGTGAATGTCTCTTAATGAGATTAAGTGCTTGGGCCCTTTGATGGGAACTTTTATTTAATTTTTCTCATTCGTTAATGGAAAGGTTTTAACATTCACATTTCTATTACCTCCTGCTGGGATAATTTCATAAGCCCTAGTTATCTCATTAGGAGTAAGAAACCACTATTTCCAGGAAGCGTTATGGGATATTACATTGTGGTTAACAGTGCAGGTGTGTATTATTTTTAAAACTCAGCATCAAACAAGTTAATTGAAAAAAATGTATTCTTTTTGCTGGAGGTAGAGAGAAACGGAAAAGGGAAGTTAGAGGGTGATTAATAAAAATAATATTCTTTTTGCAGAACAATTTCCTGTACATTATAAGCTCCCTGAATGTTTTTAAAACACAATTCAGTTTGCCACAATTTGGCTTAAACACAGATTTTTTTTTTCTAGGAGCACATCTATAACGTAAACACGTCCATCTGTTTTCCTAAAACTACAATATTGGAGCTGTATGCTCCAAATGACAAAGGGATCGAGGAGGCACCTTTGACCATTACACGCAATGACCCAACTGGAAAATTCTCATTGCCTATCTTCAAAGCTCAGTGATTTGCCTCATGCCCACGGGGAGGAATGCTTCTACCAGCAGACACAACAATGGCTCTAATGGATTGGAAGGTGAGGTTTCCACATGCCACTGAGCAAACAGACCAAAAAAAAAAAAAGACCGTTTATAACATTTATGGGATGATTGTGCCCGCCTCCTGAAGAGAAATGGAATTGCTGTGGAAAACAAGGACATGAGCCCCCCGGCTTTCTCTGAAGGAAAAACTTGCCACCGTGCTAGGAGCAGTATAGTTAGCAGACAGCTTCCAACTATCAAGTCCTCCCAACTATCAGCAGAGAGCCAGCTCGCCTGTGGCCACATCGTTCCTGGAATAGCCGGTGACAGAGCTGTGTGGCAATGCTCTTTCCAGAGCTCCCCACCAGGCTGGCATTAGGTTTGTGCTGCAGTGTGATTCTTGGGCTCAATTCTGCTTCTGCTCCCTTAACATCACGGGTGTTGATACCCTAACGAACACCTTGCACCCCAGGCTCTACCTAAGTATCTGCTTCCAGATAATCCAATCGGCACACCTGGCTCACGGTGAAGGGGAGAAGGGCTACCTGTGGGGCTCAGCGGGCTTCCTCCTGTGCTGCCACTGCCACTGCCCATGGTACCAGTCCGTGCGATGCTACAGTAACTCGACAGAAACTGGACGGTTAAAAGGCTTGGATCCTGCAGAAATTAAGGTCTGGTTCACTTCATCACAAAAAAAAAAAAAAAAAAAAAAAAAGAAAAAAAAAAGAAAGAAAAGAAAAGAAAAAAGCCAGCTGAGATGCTGGTAGAAAGCCAAGGGAACACAAGAAATAAATCAAAAATACCAACTATGGTATTTATACAACATTGCAGAAGTAAGAACAATTTTAGGAACACGTGTTTTCTCCTCTGCTATGTCATGGATATGTTTATGTACTTCAATTTCCCTTTCTTCTCCACTTTCCCCTTACAGGTACATATAGGGCAAATGGGAGGCAGTTAACTTTAAATTTTAGTTTGCATGCTATAGGCTATTAATAAGGGCTGTGATGGAACAAAAGAGAAATAGATATCTCCCAGACATCCTGGACTTAAAACTGGACCTGGCAATGGTTTAGGCTCTGAGACTTTAAAGAAGGAGTGAATATATTTTTGTTTCCATAAGGATACTTTAATTTTGTTAGGTAAGAACACTTGGGGGACTACAAGTATGTGGAAAAAAGGTGTATGTTGATATTGGGCAGTGAAGGAGTGGAATGTAAAGAAGAAAACTAATTCCTTTCATATCTAACATTTACTGAGCACTTGAATTAACTCACTTAATGAATTAAATCATTTAATCTTCATGACAGCACTGAGAGTGGTACTATTATTATCTCCATTTACAAATGAAACTGAGGCTCCTAGAGCTTAATTAACTTGGCCACAGTTGCAGAGCATTTGCTCCCAGGTGTTCTGTATATCCTTCACATGCTTTTTTTTTTTTTTTTTTTTTTTTTAACGTGAAAGAGAGCACATGAGCACGGGTGAGGGGCAGAGGAATAGAGAGAGAGAGAATCCCAAGGAGGTTCCACACTCAGCATGGAGCCAATGCAGGGCTTGATCATGAGCCAAGCAGAAATTGAGAGTCCAATGCTCAATTGACTGAGCCTTCCAGGCACACCTGAATGTTTTCTTTCTTTCTTTCTTTCTTTCTTTCTTTCTTTCTTTCTTTCTTTCTCTCTCTCTCTCTCTCTCTCTCTTTTTGGGGGGGGGCATGTTCTTAATCCAAGTGTTATTCTTATTTTACTGTAGAGGAGACATATCATTCTTTCAGGTTGCTTGGGGAATTCTCTTCCACATGACTCTGGGTAGAAGACAGAGCCCACTTGCCTCTACAAAGTTAAAAGTACAGATAGTTACCTCCCATTTTCTCTTGCACCTCAGGTATGGGCATGTTATTGATGCCACTTTGAAAATAAACTTTTAACCTTGAAAATAAAACAGTTTATTTTACTAGCAAAAATGGGTTTATCCAAGAATAGCAGAGAATTGCAACCGGAGATAAGCAAGCTGGGAAAGCCCATACAACAATAGAGAAAAAAGCTCTTTTATACAGGAGAGGCCGGTAGTTGGGAAGGCTGGTACAAACAAAAAATCTATTGGGGTAAACTAGAGTTCTAAGTATAGTGGCTTCTCATTGGCTGAGCTGTGACTGTCTCTCATTGGCGGGGCTGTTGCCAGGGTGAGGAAGAAACTTTACTTCCTCCCGCTGGGATAGTAGAGTAGCGCTCACATAGAAGTGCATCTCTTCGTGTTTGATTTGTAATGGACCAGTGCTGAGAGTGAGAGCGCCCCGCGCCGGCCTCCCAAATCCATTCTAACTGGGGTTTCCTTTTATTAATTTTCACAAGGCTTACCAATCAGATGCACTCTCTGGTGGTTATCACAGTCAGATCA